CCGGGCTGGGGATTCGAACCCGCCACCTTAGGTGTATGTGGCTGGCGCCTTAGCCGCTTGAGCCATAGGCGCCGAGCCAGTTTTTTTCTATTTTTAATGGAGATGGGTCTCATTCTTGCTCAGGGTGTTCTCAAAATCTGACCTCAAGTGATCTTCCTGCCTTGGCCTCCCAGAGTGCCAGGATTACAGGTGTGAGCCACCGGGCTCAGCTTAAAGGACTATTGTTTTAGAGTTTTAGGTTTTAGAGATCCTGTTTCTAGACACTTAAGCCATGCTGTTCTGCTGTTAAAACTAAAAAAATTAGCCAGGTGTGATGGCTGTAGTCTTAGCTACTTGGAAGGCTGAGGCAGGAGTATTGTTAAACCCAGGAGTCTGAAGTTGCTATGAGCTAGGCTGAGGCTATGGCACTCTAGCCTGGGCAACAGAGCAAGACTTTGGAAAAAAACAAACAAAGCCACACCAGAGGGGTACATCTGTTCCATTCAATGAACCTACATTGATACATCATTAATATGAATGTCCGTAGTTTACATTAGGGTTCACTTTTTTTTTTTTAATTGAGACAGAGTCTCACTTTGTTGCCCTCAGTAGAGTCCTATGGCATCACAGCTCACAGCAACCTCAAACTCCTGGCCTAAGCAATTCTCTTGCCTCAGCCTCCCGAGTACCTGGGACTATAGGTGCCTACCACAACGCCCGGCAATTTTTTTGTTTTAGTAGGCCTGGGCTGGGTTCGAACCCACCAGCCCTTGTGCATGTGGCGGGCACCCTACCCGCTGAGCTAAGGGCTCTGCCAGGGTTCACTCTTGGTCTTGTACATGCTGTGAGTGTGGACAGATGTGTACTCACCTGAATCTACCATTGTAGTATAGCACAGAGTGGTTTCACTGCCCTAAAAGTCCTCTATGCTCTGCCTGTTCATCCCTTCATCCACCTTCAACCTCTGAGGTTCTCCCCCAGAGAACCACTGATCTTTTTACTGCCTCCATAGTTTTGCAGTTTCCAAAATGTTATTGGAATTATGTACCATGTAGCATTTTCAGATTGACTGCTTCTACTTAGTAAAATGCATTTAAGTTTCTTCCATGTCTTTTCATGCCTTGATAGCTCTTTTTTTTTTTAGCTTTGAATAATCCTAGTTGCACAACAGTTTATCCATTCACCTACTGACTACTGACGGGGCACTTTAGTTGCTTCCAAGTTTTGTAAATTATGAATAAAGTTGCTATAAACATCCATGGGCAGGTTTTTGTGTGGACTTAAGTTTTCTTTTTTTTTTTTTGAGACAGCCTCAAGCTGTCACCCTGGGTAGAGTGCTGTGGCATCATAGCTCACAGCCACCTCCAACTCCTGGGCTCAAGCGAGTCTCCTGCCTCAGCCTCCCAAGTAGCTGGGACCACAGGTGTCTGCCACAACACCCGGCCATTTTTTGGTTGCAGCCGTCATTGTTATTTTGGCAGGCCTGGGCTGGATTTGAACTCGCCACATTAGGTATAATGTGGCTGGCACCTTAGCCACTTGAGCCACAGGCACCGAGCCTGGACCTAAGTTTTCATCTTATTTGGATAGATACCAAGGAGCACTTTTGCTGGGTCATGTGATCAGAGAGTATGGTTAGTGTTGGAAGGAACTGTCATGCTGTCTTCCAAAGGGGCTGCACCATTTTGCACCCAGCAACAAATGAGTTCAAATGACTTTTTATGTAAGAAACTCACATGGTTCTTTAAAGGTAATCTGGAATTCCCATTTGAAAGAAAGTTTACCCAAGAGGACATCCAAATTAAAAGTGTTTACTTTAAAAAGTGAAGGCTGGGGCTTGGTGCCCATAGCTCAGTGAGTAGGGCACCAGCCACATACACTGAAGCTG